TGTACGATAGTAGAACTAGTATTCACGGTTTTTGGGCATATTTTCACACTAGTTGGTAGAAGCTCTCAATTTTTTCTGATTATGGATTCAATCTTGAAAGTAAATTACCATTGCTGAGATCGTTGTAATTCGGTTTAATACATAGCTTTTAAAACATCAGGAGGTAAGGGAGAATAATCTTGAGTATAAGTATCGAGCATTCCACTTGCTTCAGCACGCTGATAAGAGTCCAATAACTCAAAAAGTAATCATCGGAAAACGAATTTTCAGAGAATATTTTCAAGATATTACACTTACCGAAAATGCAAAAAAAACAAAAATCGATTTACGAAGAAAATTAAATTCGCAAAGAGTAAAAATATTATTTAAGAGAAATAAGTTACCAGAAAGAGTATTTATTCATTCAGTTAGCTGTCGAGTTCTACAAATGGTAGACTACCATTTATACAAAAATTATACGGTGCTATAACCGCTGCAGATTTGGCCATAATAAAATTGCAATGCAAAGGCAAGGAAAGATGTAAAAAATGTGCAGAGGAACATGAGATAGATGCATGCAAAAGTGACATGAAAATATGTTGTTTATGTTACGAAAACCACCAAGCAGATAATAAAAGTTGTGAAGTATACTTGAAGAACAAAAAAAATAAAGGAAATTATGGCACATCTTACATAGAAACTAAAAAGATCATTCAAAACAATTGATATGCCAAAGCAGTCAGCACAAACAGCTATTACAATTAGATGCGTTAATTAGATTATAGACTATGGGAGTTTTTTATATGGGAATGGATCAAAATTGCTATTGATGAAATTAGACAAAATACGGTATTTGGCTCTAAGAAGCTGCTTAGGTGTAATGAGATCGACGCCTACTAATATCTTAGGAGTGGAGGCGGCTGAACCTCCGTTGAAGATGAGAAGAAATATGTTAGCGGACTACTATTTGTTACACAACGTTTGAGAAAACTACACAACGACTGCAACAATATTCCAGAACCATTAAAAACTTGTATTTTCTTATTGCTTCCAGAGATTACTGGCACAATAAGCAAACATCTAAGTTTTATGTATCAACAAAAAAATTCAGGAGTTACTCAAAACGTTCATCTAAACAGAGAGTTAGTGGATGTAGACATACTAAATTCAAAAGAACGTGATGAACTCTTTGAACAAAAAATTGATACAATATGGCCTGGTTATCGATACTTGTTTACAGATGGATCTAAAATTTATAACTTAGTAGGTGGCGCAATGTTGGATCCTATACGCAATACTAGAATACATCTACGACTCCTCGGGGATACAAACATATACACAGCGGAGTTAGTTTGTATAAAAGTCGTCATTGAGTTAGCTCTAGAATACAGCTTCAAAAAAGTGGTCATCATCACAGACTGTCGTAGTGCTTTTCAATCAATAAGTAACTGGAAAAATTCCACCAATAATATTGTTTTTGAAATCCTGACTTCGTTGGACCACTTAACACAGATGAGATATGACATTCACATTGCCTGGATTAAAGGCCGCTCGGGTATATTTAACAACGACCTGGTAGACATCCTAGCTAAACAGGCTTATTATGTTGGAGAGAGTTATAAAAAAGTTCTGGCACTGGACTAAAGGCAAAAAGTAAAAATCATGGCTAAACAAGAATGGCAGACGGACTATTCAGGCTTATTAAGAACCCGAGGCCGCAAATATGGTCAACTGTGGCGCATACATGTTGGTTTAACAAAACAAATAAGAAAAGGAAGTTTATTACAAAAATTTGCAGATTAAGAACTGGACATGCAAAATATAAGGAACATTTAAAGAAAATTCATATTTTACAGGATGATGCAAGTAGCTGTGGTAGTCAATCAGAATCCCTAAATAATTTTTTTTTTTTGAAAGGAGAAGATTTTATTTTCATTTAGAGTGGAAAAAATGCAATTTCCAACCAGCATCTCCCAACTCCTTAAACGACAATAGAAATTTATAATATTATAATAGAATTCTTAAAACTATGTAAATTAGATGTATAAAAGTGGAAAACTAGTTTATTTAACCCTTTGAAGACGAGCGCCGCGTATATGCGTTTTGCGCAAATCATCAAATTGACCGAAATATATGGTAAATCACAGTTCAAGCAGTTTATTTTGTAAACGATGTCTTTTCTTTTTGTAGTAGGTATCCTGTCTTTAACATATCCGTTTCACCTTAACTACAATTACAAAATATATACACGAACATTAAACATTGGTTGCCTGGCTATGAATCGGGAAACATACAGTTGTCCGTACAAAAATCCATCTTTAGGAACTAAAATCCTAAACCACACAAATCTAAAGATTGACCTTGAGCTACCTATTGATCATTATTGCAAATTCCAATCGAACTGTAAATTAGAATGTTTTAAATTGAAATGCTTTATCTGGATTATTATGGCTATTTGAGGACGAATTCGAAGGTTGAGATACCTAGATACATTTCAAAGGCCACGTTAATATCGTTGCTTCTACTACGTACCATCTATAATTTTTTAGCAGCAATTCGCGTGCCGTTGCAGAGTTTTGGTTGATTAATATTCTGCGAGGGGATAATTGGCACACCTATTTTCAATTTTAATGTGTGTGGAGTTAATCCTAACAGATTAAGTAAGCTTAACTCCTTTCGGTCCGATTAAATGAGGGCCAGCCGTAGTCCCGTGGTAAGATTGAAGGACTCTGACTTTGAAGGACTGAGTTGGAGATTAAGTCAATACGCGGACTTTTACTTTTAAGAGAAATTAATAAAAATAAAAAAGTAAGTAAGAAAAAGGAAAAAGTGAAAGCATGTAATATGTTAAGAAAAAAAGTAAAAATGTATGAAATATGTAAGAAAAAGTATTAAGTATGTAGAAATGTAAAAAAAAATGGAGATGGGTATCGTAGTACTCGGAATTATTTTCCGCCAATAGAAGACAACACGCAATGTGTAAACAAGATTTAATAATTATTTAGTCAACTTTAGTTTTATAATACACCTTTCTAGTGTTATTTTTGTATATAAATTATATTTATATTTAGTGTGTGCTGTATGAATGCCTACAGTTTACGATTCAAATAGTAACTAGCCGTGGAGGCAGAGAGCAAACATACGACCAGAACGGTGAAAAAGCTTTGGTAGCTGAGAGTGGAAGAACGACCGAAAAGGGTTAAATTTTCAATGATAAAATAGTGTTATTTTTTCCATCAGGCTGTTTCTTTATTCTCATCAGCGTTTGATTCTGGACAACTAGGATCTTTCTTTCCATTTCCAAGTTTGGAGTTCGCCTGATGTTCAAGCTGACGCAAAGCAATGAAGGAAGTTTGGAACAGTTTGTTGTAGCATTAGAAAAGGTGTTCAGGTCACGCATATTCAATAATTAAGAGAATGAAAAGAACGATGATATGTCTCGGGGATAATTTTTTTTATACTTGATATTGATGCGATTCGTATGGATTAAATTATTTTGACCTATTTGTTATTGTTTATCTGCACTATTTTCTTTATTCAGTTTTTCTAGCTACTCATTTATACTTAGATATTTAATAAATAATAATAAATTAAACTGAAGTATAAAATATATAACAAAATGAAATAATACGTAAAAGCTTTTAGTGCTAGTAATGTACAATAGTATTCTAATAATAAGTCTCTATATTTTCAAATACATGATTTTTAACATTGTTCATTTTGTTCACCTTATCATGAAATGATATATACGATGTTACGATATTCACTTTATCTTTCAATCACAAGGAATTTGCATTTAATGTATTCAATATAATTATATTCAGTAAATTATGTCCATTGTATCAAAAAATTATCCCGGCTGTAATCTGTCTGTACTTTTTCAATTGCTATAGCATTTCATATTTTACATATTTTGAGTAAAGAAATTGTTATCAAAATGTTCGAAGAAATCACGTTAAAACCGAATTGTTATTATCAAAATTTTGTTACAGTTACACAATATTGATACGCTTGTTCTAGAAACAAAAATTATCCAATATTTTCTTTGCGACATAGAATCTATGTTCAAATAACATGACGATTCGGGTGTGAGAATGACTAAAATTTTAACAATGTTTCCAAGTCTTAAACAAAACCATTTGCATTTTGGTTTTAATATATTTTTTGTACATAAATGTTTTCAAGGCCGCTCAATTTCTTCCGTTCGCGAATTAATCCGTGACATGAACCATTCGTGAAATTAATACTGAATTATTGTAATATTGATTAATGGCGAATCGTACTTAACTTAATAATAACTAATAATGAAATTAATAATGAAACGATGCCTTGACTTTCTCTTGTTCGTTTTAAGGTAAAGACGATCCCTACGCATTAAGTTTGCGAATTGAGTGTTATCCGAGCTGTATCTCAGTTGATTGACAAAGTGCGCGTGTTTGCAATATGACTCTTACTCGATCTGGCATTATTTTATATGAATGCCGCGAACAGCGTTGTTAAGAATCTAATTAGATTCTAATTTTTGTTATGCCCTGTTTATGCGACATTTAACTATAGTTTGTGCAAAATACTGATAAAATTGAAACAAAGGTAAGTCATTTCAATTTCTACGGTGACATTACACTTTACTCGTGTGCAAATAAAATGTGCCGCACTACGTTGTTTGTTTATGTTTGACATTATATTTTTGACATGTGCATAAATATTCTTATTGGAACCAAAGATGCCACATTATTAAATTCTAATCTAGTCATTTGTAATTATTACTTACGTATGCCGCGTATATGCATGTATGTCAAGCGATTTTTCAATAATTTATTATTTTTGTTTATATTCTGCCGAAAATTCTAATAATTCAGTAAATACTAACAGTTCCTAATTACGGAAAATCTCTTTAAGTACTTGTTTTATTTACTCTGTAATGTTTTTGACCATGACCTTGACCCTCATATTCTCTTATTCATTTATCTTTTGCTCTCTTACTTATTTTGTAAGAAATATTAATAAAAAAAATTGCTTTGTACTACATATTTATTATATTTGCAATAATTATACAACACAGACAAACATGTTTAACATTGTTTATAATATATAATGCTAATCCACAGGTTTAATTGTAATAAATCTTGACAATATAAATGCCACAACTATAGTAGTTAATACAAAACATAATGCAAAGACATAGAATGTGTCCTCAGAAAAAACATCAGTGAAAGCAGGAACATGGCTATACAATTGTTCAATAACATCTATGTTGCCTTTGTTGTGCCCCATTTTACAAATCTATTTCCTTCTCGCAGATTTTGTTTCCAATTTAGTTACAGTAATTTCGTCTTTGGGTGCAAATACTGATATATGTTTATTGCATAGCTGTAACAACTCTAAAGTAGTTAAATTATCTGCTTTCAGAGTGACACTCTGAATCTTTGCTTGCTCTAAAAGAACATTTTTTATTAAACCAAATAGTAACTACCTATATTTATTAATTATCTACCTGCAGCATCTGGATTGAAAGAAAATTTGACTGTGGGTGACCTGCGATCACACACAACATCAGTTTTTATCACACAACCTGGATTTGTTCTGCCTATTTTCGGAGATGTGAGGAAGTACAAGAAGTCCCTGCAAGAGTTTTAAATCATGTCAACTGAAAGAGAACTTACTCCAGGGGGGCCTACTGCCCTACCACCTCAAATTTCAATACAAGATCTTAACTCAATTCGTATTAACACAGCCGTTAGCATGCTGGGAAAAGCTTACGGTTGTGGACAATGCAGTGGTAAGATATTTCATATAATTGGCTTATTGCAAACATTACTACCACCAGCAATTGTCTCATTGGAATTTACCTAGTTGCAGTTGCATTTTCGTGAAATGGATCAAATGTTACAGTAACCCTTTTAACAGGTTTTAAGTTAACACCTTTTAATTGTTTTCCTATGGCAGAAACCACACCACCCGACCGACCAAAACGACCGCTGAACGGAATTGACATCACACATAAAGGTTTCTATTTTTGTGTATCGACTTCGTCTCCTTTGATTTTTAACTAAACCTCTTGTCCCATATTTATCGAAGTGATGTCATCCACTACTTACAGCGCCATTTTGTTTTCCTAGTTTCGAGACTACGTAAACATGCCGGATACTGAAATATAGTTTTTGAAAACGGTTTCGTATTATACATAAATTATTTATTACATATTTATCTGCAAAATATTGATATCAATACAATTTTTGAAAACATATCATAATTTTTTAATTGTATGTGAATTTGATAAACAATCTTTCGCAAATTATATCCATGTAAATCATTAAGTCGCGAGCTCAATGTTCCAATGTATACTGAAATATGGAAGCGAACAGTAATGAATAAAATGCATATGGCGTCGTCATAGATTGTTTTTAATTTTACGTTTCTAGTTTTGTGATTGTGCTTTGTGTGTCACTTCTAGTGCCTAAAGTGCTGTTGAAAAATTGTTTGCAAATATGTATCCAGTGGGGCAGCGTGAGTATTAAAGACTTAATAAAAGTCGATCTAATCAACCTAAATCTTTCCAAGAACGATTGCAATAAAGTCATGATTCGACAATGTGCTAAATTTGAGTCACGGTTTAATTTAAGTACATGTTCATATGAGATAATCTATAATTAATCTTTTTTTTGTGAATTGTTATGTATATGTACTGCTTAAAAATGAAATTACCGTCATTTTTAAAAAATAATATATTGAAACCAATTATTGTAATATATTTATTAATATTGTTAATCTATTTTAAACTTCGGTTCATAATTATAATTGAATCTTGTCCCATCTCATTACTCTTTTAACTTTAGAGTCTTCATGGACATCTTCTCCACCACGACCCCCGAGCCCTTCTCAGCCGCAGACCAGCTTTGATACACTTTCACGTAAAAATCATAATTACTTTATTCATTTACTGCAATACATCACTATTATATTTAATTGCTGTTGGTAGTAATATTAATTGTCTTATATAAATAGCTTATTACTGCTAGCTTGTAAACTGATGATTTATTTCTGCAAAATATATTATGAGACTAAATTTATTAATATTTACACAATTTTGCAAAAGAAATGTAGATTTCCAGTATTTGTTAAAAAAAAAAAAATGTCGTATTGTGTGTGGTCGACAATTGGTATAATAGTTAGTGTTATCTTTTTTTGACTTTCTTAATAATATTATACATACAAATTATGTGTTTTTAGGGTATGTATAAAATTTACATTTTTTATTTAAACACAACTTTATGAAACAATTTGTATAATTCAATCTACAACAAATTTAATACTTAATTAACCAATTACCTGCATGTTCTCCTTTTTATGAAATGTTAATTTAGGTTCCTTTTTATTTGGACAATCTGCTCAATTGATCTTATATAATAAACTGATGTTTTTTTCAATGTCAAGGTACAAAATTGTTATGCAATCATATTTTAGAAAAATATGATGTATTTGTTTATACATCAGTTAAATTATATAACTTAATATATCTGCATGCGGAATTATAATGTTCAAGGAAAAACTCAAGACAAAAATCTAAATTCATATTTATAGTAGATTTTATTTGTTTATATATATATATATATATATATATATATATATATATATATATATTAGGGCGGGTCGATTTAAAGGTCACTTAGGCACATATGATTTTCAGATACTAAGGATCAAAATAAGATACTTTGCTGAAGAAACCATACCTCTGAAATGAATTCTGATGTCCCATGCGTTGACCCAAAAATAAGGGTTGAATGTTGAAAAACCGCTCAGGGGAGGTCCCAGGGGATAAACCACGGGCATGGGTGAATCGGCTTTCCAAAGTTAGTGGGGGTCGTTTATACATTTGGACGCGATTGGGGTACTCTAAATGGGTCAAGTTGGAATATTTCAAATTTCAAGCCTTATTTTTGGGTCATTGCACGGGACATCAGAATTCATTAGTATCTTATTTTGATCCCCAGTATTCAAAAAACATGTGTGCCTAAGCGACTTTTTTTGACCCATACAAATCAACCCGCTCTATATATATATATATATATATATATATATATATATATATATATATATATATATATATATGACAGCTAAGCATAAACTATTAAGTTATTTATTATGGAGCAGAGTTTAAATGACATGGTTCAATACTCGTTTTTATTGATTTTGTTAGTTTGCAATTATGTGCTTTATTTCTTGAATTGTTTCATGTTTTTTGATAATTTATTGATACAAGTAAAATCATTTTCATATAACATGCTAGTTAACTTCAGAATATACCACATGAATAGTTACATGAATTAATGAACAAAATATAAAATGAAAGCATAATGATTGTTATATTTAGCTCCTCCCCCGGGCAGCACAGTAGGCCCTAGTAGTGGTGTGACACAAACAGGTTCTGCAACTGTTCCGACGGGATCTTTAGGCCTTGTGCCTGCCAGTGCAACACATCAACCACCCGCACCTCCAGAATTACCAGTATTTTCATGTCCACGTCGACCAAATTTGGGCCGCGAGGGCAGGCCAATTGGTCTTCGGGCTAATCATTTTCAAATAACTATGCCAAGGGGATTTGTACATCACTATGATATTAATATACAGCCAGACAAATGTCCAAGGAAGGTAATTAGATTATATATTTAAAGAACTCAATTATTATTATTGAATAATGTGAAAATTTATCTTCTTAATAATGTTATATGATTATAATATATGATTTTATTTTTATTATATTTTTTTGAGGGTTGGAAAAGTTTCATAACTAGACCCTACATATTAATGAAACAAACGTTATTTTTCTAAAAAACTATTTGTTCCTGTTTTCTAATATTATGTCTTCTCATGATTTTGGTTCACATTTTCTTTAGTATCCTATCAAAATTAGTTAACAATATTAATCTTAGACTGCCACATCAGCATAAATGTAAATTTCACCAGATTTGATACTATTCAAATACAGTTCAGTATATTTTACTTTTTTTGCATTTAAAAGGTGAATAGAGAAATCATAGAAACTATGGTGCATGCATACAGTAAAATATTTGGAACTTTAAAACCTGTATTTGATGGCCGAAATAATTTGTACACGAGGGATCCTCTTCCAATTGGCAATGATAGAGTGGAATTGGAGGTGACACTACCTGGGGAAGGAAAGGATAGAGTTTTTAGAGTTACCATAAAATGGGTGGCACAGGTGATCAAATTTATAAGACATCAGCATTTAAATCAGTATGAAAATATTTTACAGTGAATATAACAAATCAGTAAACCGACACACTTTTACATTTTCTACGAAAATTATCAAAGCATTTTTATTAAACTTGTTTTTAGATAAAATATGTCAGACAATAACAATCTCATCATGTAGATAATCTTTGCAAATCCCTGTGGAGAGACCAGATGACTTATTTATTTTACCAAAATGATTTTAATAAATAAAGATCAAAATTATTATTTGTGATCAGGAAGCTTATCGCTATTTTGTTATATAATTTTCAAAATTTAACCTTGCATAGTTTATGGAATAAAGTAGTAGATATGACAAGAATCTAAATGTTTGCTCAGTATTAGTTTTTAAATTTTATACCAGTAAATTTATCAGTTTTTTTTTTCATATTTTTGGATCCAGATATGTTTGAATTTGCTCTATGGTGTATTACCAATTTTTCTTTTTTTTTTTATAACTGAAATTTATTTAAATTTGATGTTTTAGGTGTCTTTGTATGCTTTAGAAGAAGCACTAGAAGGACGCACTAGACAAATTCCATATGATGCTATTTTAGCATTGGATGTAGTTATGAGACATTTACCTTCAATGACATACACACCAGTTGGAAGAAGTTTTTTTAGCTCACCCGATGGTTATTACCATCCTCTGGGTGGTGGCCGTGAAGTTTGGTTTGGTTTTCATCAAAGTGTTCGACCTTCACAGTGGAAAATGATGCTTAATATTGATGGTAAGTGAAAAATAAGTCTGTAGTAAATAGATCTGATAATAATTATTTAATGAAATATTTCTAACTTTACTAAATATATTTAAAAATCAAAAATGTTTTATTCAAATTATTTATAAAAAAAAAATAGTTATCATAAAAGTTTATTTGCAAAACTGAATCCAAATTAATATATTGAACTGCTTATTCTAAAAATAATGTTACATTCAATAGATCAGAAAAATATATTTTGAAATATATTGAGAAATTTAATATGCAACACTTACTATAAACATATAATTTTTTATATAATATTCTATCTGCCATATGATGATTTTTAATTTATCTTTAAAATGCACTCACATCGAACAGTTTGAATTTTGTCCATTGTAATGAATATAGCTATTGACAAAGATTGTGAATATAATAAAATTTCTAAAATTGTTTAAAACACTCATTTCTTATACTATATATTTAATATTTGAATATAGCTTTAATGTTATACTCAGCTATACATTATAGTTCTAAGCTCGTACTAAACAGTTTATACACATAAGGAAGCTATGAGATTTAAACATTACTGGAATCCATATGTAATTGTAATACTTATATATGCAATTAAATTTTTTTTAGAAGAATGTTTTTTGTAATACTTTTAATCATAATTCAACTATTTAATATCTCTGAACAATTTAGCATTATTATCTTTATGGCATCTCTTTACAGTATCTGCAACAGCTTTTTATAAGGCTCAGCCTGTCATTGAGTTCATGTGTGAAGTTCTTGACATAAGAGACATTAATGAACAAAGAAAGCCTTTAACAGATTCTCAGAGAGTTAAATTTACAAAAGAAATTAAAGGGCTTAAAATTGAAATTACTCATTGTGGCACAATGAGACGCAAATATCGTGTTTGTAATGTAACTAGAAGGCCAGCACAAATGCAATCGTAAGTATTTTCAATTGTCATATTTATTTTGTTTTCGATATAATGATGAATTTATTACTTGTATCTCATAGTTTAAATCACAAATTTTAGTTTGTTTAAATTTATATGTATATATATATATATATATATATATAATAATAAATGGTGGTCTGCCCGAAGGCAGGTCCATGGTGTGAGAGCCACCACAACAAATGATTTCCTTGCCCTTTATCCCCCCCCCTTTATTTCACGTATTTTCCTTTCCAAACTTTTGTTTCCATGCTTCTTGATCGTGTGCTTCGGCTTTCAGTTCCCTGTATTTTCTCTTCTCGCGTAAGTCGTCAATCGTCTGCATTCTTCTTCTTCCCATTCCTTTTGTTCCTTCTATTTTACCCTCGACGACGTCGTGTAGGAGGCACTCTTTTTGCAAAAAAGGTCCGATCCAGTTTCCTTTCCTTCTGAGGATTGTGCTCAGTAGAATCCTTTCTTCGCCCACTCTTCTCAGTACTTCTTCATTTGTTACTTTGTCTGTCCACTTTATCTTTTCCATTCGCCTCCAGCACCACATTTCAAAACTTTCGAGGTAGTTCTTATCGGCCTTTCTCAGAGTCCATGTCTCCGATCCGTACAGAGCTATGCTCCAGACGTAGCACTTTATTAGTCTCTTCCGTAAGTCAAGACTCAGTTTGCTCGTCAGTAGCGTTCTCTTCTTTGTGAATGCCGCCTTGGCGCTTGCGATCCTTGTCCTGATCTCTTTCGTGCAGTATCCGTCTCTGGTTAGTATGCTTCCCAGGTATTTGAAGTGATTCACGTCTTCCAACTCTCGATTTTCTACTGTTATCCTCAGGGGGTTATTTGTTTTTGTGATTCTCATCACTTTCGACTTTTCTATGTTGATTTCCATTCCGTATCTTCTACCCACTTCGACGATTCTGTCCATCATGTTCTGCAGCGTACTTTGTATATATATATATATATATATATATATATATATATAAAGCGAGAGGTTTTTTCAGATGGTAAAATATTATGATAAAGTTGTTCTTGGGCATCTATCCAATAATTAAAACGATTTATTGTAGAAAAATGTTTTTATTGTAATATTATATTTTTCTTTGTAATAAAATCCGTATATCTTACTTGTTTACCTCCCATTCACAACATAATAGTATCACTTCACAACCTCTTAAACCTGATCCTAAAAATTCACTATCTCTCAATTCCTTTATCTCATTAAATTACATAGGCAGCCTTTTCCACTCTTGGAAAAAACTGTTTTCATCTGTGTTGATTGCTCAAATTTCTATGTCGGTGAAACCTCACAATTTCTCTCGAAACAAATGCGCCAATACGAACTCAATAGCTTAAACAAGAAACAAAATAAAACCATGATCACAAACATGTCTCCAAATTAAAACATTTCTTTAATTTTACTAATCCAAGAATTATCCATTGAGAAGCAAACACTTCACACAGAAAGTTTGCCGAGAGTATTTACATACAATTATTACCTGTCATTAACAAACGTTTTGATTCAGCTACTCTCTGCAATATCTTTTGTGTAAATGATGAGCTTGGGAGTTGAAAATTGGTATGATATTGTATTTTTCCAAAAACCAGGTGGGGCCGATGGAAACACTTTCTAAACAACTTTGTTACATTAAACTTTCAGAAGTTATCTAGCACATCATGGGGTTCATTGGTGAACATCATTTTCATGCGTAAAAATTATGATGTGAAGAGAATTAGTTATTCAATTACCTCTATAAAAATTTAGACGTTGTTAAACTTTTTATTTAAATTTGCTCACTTAAGAAATGTTTAGCTATAAAATTATTTGAGTTTATAGTTACAACAAGTGGTATTTAAATTATTCAAACTTGAACAACAGATTTCCACTGCAATTAGAAAATGGACAAACAGTAGAATGTACTGTAGCAAAATATTTCTTAGACAAGTATAAAATGAAACTACGCTACCCACACCTGCCTTGCTTGCAAGTCGGACAAGAACACAAACATACATATTTACCACTGGAGGTATGCAATATTGTAGCAGGGCAACGATGTATCAAGAAATTAACTGATATGCAGACATCCACAATGATTAAAGCAACTGCTCGGAGTGCACCTGATAGGTACGTTTTACATGTTTGTCATATGCACAAATTAAATTTTTCTAATTATTAATCATTTATTGGCTTTGACAAATAAGCAACATAATATATATTAAAAAATTTATCAATTTTCTTTTTATAATTCAATATATCATATCACATAGTGAACAAAATGATTTAAAGCTATTTTTAACAATAATTTTTGTTATTAATTCTTAGATAAATACTTATTATAAATTATTTTAAATATAATTCATTGATATGTATTAGTTTGAAATAAAGATTAATGTTCGACTACTTTCAGCAGTGGAATTTAATTAAAGGATTTTCTTTTATTGGTTTTGCAGGGTTATAGTTAATTTATTTATTTTAGTCAAAAATGATTTAACCATTTTTTTCTGTTTTTTTTTTTTTTGATTTATTATAGCAAGTAATACTTTCAAAAATGTTATAAAGTTTAAATTATTATTTAAAACTTTATTACAGAGAGAGGGAAATCAATAATTTGGTGCGTCGAGCAGATTTCAATAACGATTCTTATGTTCAAGAATTTGGTTTAACAATAAGCAATAACATGATGGAAGTTCGAGGGCGTGTTTTACCACCACCAAAACTGCAATATGGGGGCAGAGTTTCACTTCTAAGTGGCCAAGTAAATATCTTTATTGTGTGTTATAAATACATAAACCATATAGAAAAAAGGCTATGTTATACTACTGATATCTTCTTCACACATTTACATTTTTTTTCAACATATTATATACATTTTATTATACCAGATTCTTTTGCTACTACTAAATTTACTAAAATATAAATTATAATAATCATGATACTATAATATGGCATTTTGTCTTGTATTTATTTCAATGCTACAATGAACAATTTTAAAGTATTAACTAACAATTGAATCATGATAAATTATAATCTGATCCTTAAAAACATTCTGTCAAATATTTCAGTTCTTCATGTTTACATAATGGATCAACATATAAATTATATGTCTTATTTTTATAACCAACATATAATTAAAATTTTTGTGTCTGAACATACAGGTGCACACTTCTTTTAATCTGTGTGAAACTTCAAAATTTTATCTGTTTTAACAATCGGCCACAATTGTTTCTAATGCAATTAATGATTTTTTTTAACAGAATATTATTTAATTTTAGTTTTGTATCATGTAATTTGTATTTAAAAAGAGCTCACTAATGTTAGCTGTTAGATGGTACCTTGTTCACAGAGTAAACAACAAGCACTGCCTAATCAAGGAGTGTGGGATATGAGAGGAAAGCAGTTTTTTACGGGTGTTGAAATACGTGTGTGGGCCATTGCCTGCTTTGCCCCTCAGAGAACAGTTCGAGAAGATGCTTTAAGGTATAATGTCATCCAAACAATTATCAATTATCTTTTGGAATTGCACGCTGGATGCGTAATATGATTGAAATATCTCTGCATATTAAAAAATAAAATGAATTTTCTATTTGTTATTGATCAATACTCAGTAAACACCGAGCGGCGGTAGCAATCTGAAATCCACATTGATTATATATTGGTGTCACAGCACTGAAGGGGAACGCTTGTGAATTTCAGGTTGCTGCCAACACTCGCATCACACAGTGTTTACTGGGTATATATTACATGTCAATTGCTCAAGCACATATAAAAAGTTATTATTTTGAAAAATCGAGTTTTTTAGTTTTATTACAATTTTGCACAATAGGAAAGATAAGCATTTTTTTTTATCAGTTATTATATATTAGTTTTAAATTATGGAAAAAACTATTGTATTTTTCTTACAACAATGTTATTTTGATCTGAGTTTAATAATAATATTTTTATTGTTTTGTTTTTGATCACAAATAAATACACATTCATGAAAGGTATAACATGTCACGGCCAGAAATTATAAAGATATATTAAACATGTCAATTTTTCACCTAATTTCTGAAACTATAATTTTTTTATATTTGTGTGAACTAAGAATAGTATTCACAGTTATATCTTCTCGAGTGAATGGTGGTTGTTGCAAATAAACATAAAAAGGCAATACAATAGAATCCTTGTTAAAAAATTTTAGATGAAAACCACATAACATCTAGTTATATAATTTTTTAAAACTCTTATGGTATAGTTGACTTTTTCATAGTTTTTATTTAATCAACAATGTTTATGAAATAATGTATAACATTTTTGTAATATGACAACATTATTGTTTGCATATGCAAGAGCTTGTTTGGTATTTCACTTATTACTAGCTTTAGTATAAATTATAATCTTATGGTAGAGATTTGTTAAAATATATATGTAACTTACGTAAAATATATACGTACGTAAAACTGATGTTAATATTGTTGTAAACTTGTCTTGTACTTACTACAGACATGATTTTTCATGATTTTTTTTTCTTTTTTTAGAAATTTTACACAACAATTACAGAAAATATCAAATGATGCTGGTATGCCTATTATAGGACAACCGTGTTTCTGTAAATATGCAACAGGGCCTGATCAAGTTGAACCTATGTTTAGGTATCTTAAATCTACATTTTCGGCTTTACAATTAGTTGTTGTAGTTTTGCCAGGAAAGACACCAGTTTATGGTATAATATAATACAGTTTAATCTTTATATCATAATATATTTTATATATATTATTTTGATTGCATTTTAGCTGAAGTGAAACGAGTTGGTGATACAGTTTTGGGAATGGCAACTCAATGTGTTCAAGCTAAAAATGTAAATAAAACATCTCCACAAACATTAAGTAATTTATGTCTGAAAATTAATGTTAAATTGGGTGGTATAAATTCTATTTTAGTTCCATCTCTCAGACCAAAGGTGAGTTCTATTAGTGAATTTGATTGTCTTACATATTTATTCTATTGCTGCAACTCATATTAGTATTCTAGCTGCTAAATTACTTTTTTTCAATTTCATCTATACATTTTTTTTTTATTTTAGTTTATCAATACTTAGAAGTAGATGAATAGATTCTTTATATCAAGTTTCTTACTTTGTTCAAAATATTCTTAAAATTGTTTGTTTTTGAAAATGAGTTTTTACCTTAGTGCTTTTTAATATATTATACTGTAATAATAATATACATTTGATTTGTAATTTGTCACAGGTATTTAATGAACCAGTTATATTTTTGGGTGCGGATGTAACTCATCCACCTGCTGGAGATAATAAAAAACCATCAATAGCTGCTGTAGTAGGCTCTATGGATGGGCATCCATCTCGTTATGCAGCTACTGTTCGAGTTCAACAACATCGTCAAGAAATTATTCAAGAACTTAGTTCGATGGTTAGGTATGTTGACGTTATAATAAAATTTATATTTAAATTTTAATAAAGGGTTATCATACTGTAGAATTATTGAATTAATTTTAATTGAAAGGTGTAAATGTAAGGTATAATAATAGTATATTAATAGTATATAATTCTATAAAAAATAAATAGAATTTATCTTTTTTTTGAACTTTTTTATTAGTAGTTGTAGTTAAAATTACAACAATGAACCATTAATCCTTTGTGTTTATTGTTTTCACTGGCTTTTGCCATCTCTGGATATTGCCAATTGCATTAGCTAAATATTTCTTCTTTTTTGTATTTTTATTTTTATGTTTTTATTATTTTTATGTAGGATTTTATTTATATTTTTTGATAATCCTATGGCCAATTTTGTTATGTATTATCAGAAGTACATGAATCAAAATTTGGACTTTGATTTTGTTAAATTTATTTCTAACGCTTGAGGAAATTTAACAGGGAACTGCTGATCATGTTCTATAAAAGTACTGCAGGATATAAGCCACATAGAATTATATTATACAGAGATGGAGTATCAGAGGGCCAATTTTTGCATGTTTTACAACATGAATTGACGGCTATTCGTGAAGCTTGTATTAAATTAGAATCAGAATACAAACCTGGTAATTAAGTGTAATATGATTAAATGATACACAATGCCATCTTAATAATTTTATTCTAGATGTAATACTTTTATATCTTTTAGGAATAACATTTATTGTTGTGCAAAAAAGGCATCACACTAGACTTTTTTGCTCTGATAAGAAAGAACAATCAGGGAAGTCAGGTAATATACCAGCTGGTACCACAGTTGATGTTGGCATTACCCATCCAACAGAATTTGATTTTTATCTATGCAGTCATCAAGGCATTCAGGTTTGTTTTCATTTTTTGTCAGATTTGTCATTGTTAAATTTTTGTGTTTTCACATTCTTACTTTGTTGATAAAAAATGTTTTATTAGGACTTTAGATGATTAGATTTGACTTACATCTATATGTAAGCACCTAATGGCTGCACAATTTGAATGCATTGTCCATTTCTACTTTTTATGATACTGGCTAAATAAATACATCTTGAATGATAGACTTGTTGTATAGGATGTTCAAAATATGTTTTAGCATAACATCATATAGATAGATTTTTAGAGTTTTATTTGTCAGTTTTAACATTATATATTTCAAATTTGACAGATACAATCTATACTCATTTGTGCAAAAATTGTGGTTTTAATTTTTTTGTGTGCCACAACAAATTCATGCTTATGACTACATCATATGTGTTATGACGTAGCAATATGAAATGTCTTTAGAAACAAATTGGTTTTGTGTACAGCTGTAATTGAGAGATATATTATAAATGCTGATTATAAACTATTGAGACCAAGTGCATGCACATAACCTTTGAATTGTTAATAGCAATTTTACCAAAGTCGTACAACAATAACTGTTAGAACTAGATTTAATATGATTTCAAATGTGTAATAAGTGAATTCTATAACTGATAAATATTAGACTTTGCATTAAACCAATATAGATTTTTTTAAAGATTAACTTCGAATAGCACAAGCTCACAAATAAATATCGGATGTTAAATCTACAGGGTACTAGTCGTCCCTCACATTATCATGTATTATGGGATGATAATCATTTTGATTCTGATGAGCTGCAGTGTCTTACCTACCAACTATGCCACACTTACGTTAGATGTACACGTAGTGTTTCAATACCTGCCCCAGCATATTATGCTCATCTAGTAGCATTTAGAGCTAGGTATCATTTAGTGGAAAAGGAGCATGACTCTGGAGAAGGATCACATCAGTCTGGATGCTCTGAGGATCGTACACCTGGCGCTATGGCAAGAGCAATAACAGTACATGCCGACACCAAGAAAGTAATGTATTTTGCTTAATTCAGGTAAGTATGTTTATAGGAATCACACTTAATTTTATTGAGTAGTTATTAGTCAGTATCCAGTTTTGAATACTAAACTTTTACATGCTGATTTGAATTATTTATTTGATAGATTTTATTCAAATGAAAAATATAATTGCCACATGATTTTTTTTTAAGAACTTTTATTATGTTTGACAATTAAGAGAAAAAAAATTGTTTTAAAAGTTTAGTTTATTATATATAGAAATTTTGCTGTAATTTTGACACTGTTATTGGGAATTTCCAAGTCTTTTTTTCTTGTTCGCATCACAACAAAGTTGAAATCATTCATGTTATTTTCACATTAATAAGATTTGTAATACTGTGTTTTTCTTTCTTTTTTTTTTTTTTTCTTTTTTTATAACGCTTTGGGTTGTATGTTCTATTCAGGTTGTATGCTTGCAAGTGTGTATATATATATATATATATATATATATGTATATGTATATGTATATATATTGTATAATTTTGCTCATTTGCCATAAATAATACTGGTGGCAGTATACATTTGTCATAATACTTTTACTTAAATGAATAGGATGTAAAAAAAACTACTGTACAGAGTTAGTATGATCTCATAGTCAGATTTTCTGTCGGTTTCATGTTTCATTAATGGTCAGAGGACATTCAATGATGGTTTATGTGTATATATATATATATATATATATATATATATATATATATATATATATATATATATATATATATATATATATGTATATATATATAGGGTAAACTGCACACATCTAATTATGTTTTATAATAGACTGATGTGCTGTGTGTAGTACGTCACACTATTAATATTGTATGTGTGATTGGAATTTAACAAATACAATTTATTATGTTAAGGCAAAAGACAATATATTTTAAGATATGTAATACAAAGAAAAATATCACACAACATTAAATGCATATTGATTGCACATTAAACCAAAAATTGTGATGGTAATGAAGCTTTATTTTTATTTTAAATATTGAATATTGATGAAGTGTTTTAAGTTTTATCTGTACTTGTGGTATGCTTTTTACCATTCAAAAAATCTATCTGATCCAATTTCAATTAATAATCTTATTATTTTTATTAACCTAGTACTATTTCAAATTTGAATAATGTATAGTAACTTTATATTAAAACTAGTATATTAACGTTATTTTGTCTATTATATGTGTAATAAAATGAAGAAACAAAGAATTTATTAGTTTTCTAAGATAGAAATGACGTTAATTTAAAATAGCACGCTTGTAATTTGTAATGATATTATTTAATATTTATCAAGTATCTCTTTTATATATAGATTAGGTTTTATAGTGTACTATTATATTGTATATCAAAGATCCATAAGACATTTTACTCCTCCTTTTTACAAAAATATATGTATGTGTGTATGTGTGCGACGCGTGTTTGTGGGTGTGTGTGTTTGTGAATATGTATATATATGTACATATATATATATATGCATGTATATACATATATATATATATATATATATATATATATATATCATATACTGGTGTCCCAGGCTTTGATGTAAAGCTAAAACGAGTTGATAGTATTTTTATTTTTTGCTAATTTTGTTCATTTAAACTTTTGAAACATAACCATGAATAACATTTCTAGAATAGTAAAAAAATACCACAAATGACCTAGATTTTTAAGAATTAAGACTTTGTTATACTATGAATTTAAAATTTTTAAATTTGGTTGACTTTGAGAAGACGTTAATGCGGTCAATATTATCACCTCGTTTCGGCTTCATGTCAAGATCTGGGACACACCCTGTATATATATATATATATATATATATATATATATGTATATAAATATATAAATATATATAAATATATATATATATATATATATATATATATATATATATATATATATATATATATATATATATATATGTGTGTGTGTGTGTATAAATGTATGTATGTATATATGCATGCATGCTTATCTATAAGTATATGTATATAATTTTATTATTTTAATTTTATTAAAAAAGTAAGTTTTATCTATGAAAATTAATTTTATTTGAAAGGTAATTTTATATATGAAAATTGATTTTATTAAAAAAGTAATTTTATATATGAAAATTGAAATCAATTTGAGTTTAAGTATAGAATAAGAATTTTAACATTTATTTAATATTGCTATAATATTGAAGCATACTGATGTTAAGTTGATCCATAATAGACTTGCTACATGGGACATTAAAAATAAATGTGGTGTAATAATACATTAAATATTATTGATAAAATTAAAGATATGTATTTTATAAAACAAAGAAAATGCAAAGTGATACAAGGGAAATATTACAATTTAGATTATAAATATTAATAATGATGGAACAATTATTGTATAGATAATAAAACTACTAGCATAAGTATTATTTAAAAGTGGAAATTTTATCCTAAATGTATTTATCAATGATGTTTTCGACAATGATTCAATCAATATCACATATAAATACAAATTAATGATATGAAAGTATCATGAATTTGAAAATTCTAATAATAGATAAATTGGAAATGCTATAGTGTTCCCTTTATTTTACTGCATTTAGGAGTTGAGTGTTAAGAAATTCTAAATCATTGTATGTACTTTTGAATGTGTATCCAGATTAATCATTACTGTTTAGCTTAAGTCTTGTCATGTTAGTAAATTATTAAATTTGCCATCATAGTTTAAATAACTAATGATATATTTAGGATAGCGTCCACCGATTTGTTTACATTTTAGTATTGTGTTAAAGAATAATAAATTGTTAAAATACATCTGGACTTAAATAAAAACTTACATAAAGACATCTTAGGTTTTCATTCAGTGTACGAATTTTTGAAGGCGTGCATCCTAGACAATATAATAATGGCGTGCATAGTCGGATCATGGTCGGATCGGTAGCGTTCGGTTTGCAGATGCAAAGGCACTTCGCATCGGTATTCATATGGTTCGAATCCTTATGAATAATGTAAAATTGATGTAGAATTTTAACTGGTTAAATATTAAAGCAATAGCCAATAAAAAAAACAAAACAATATGAATTGTTTTTATTGAATTCAAGGGTTGATATTAGGAAATGATAAAAAAATGAAACAGAAGCTAAATTAAATAACTGTTTTCTAATAAATGACTAATGTGGAAATGTCATGGCCCTAATTATTCCGAAGTCGTACACTATTATACAAATTAGCATATTTATATAAACGTATTATCCAAGATAAAATATGTAGTCGATAATAAAAACTATATTTAAACTTTTTACAACTATATCTAGTTACTAGAATCGTTCTTACGTTGCGCGGGAGGAACTCGTGCCTATTTAGCATATAGAGTCCGTGTTATCGGAGATATGTCGGATATCTGGCTCCATGTAGTGCAGGAACCGTGTTCCCAGAGCGCCGTGTTAACGAAGGATAGACTGCATATATATACAGTAGAACCTCGATTATCTGGACCTCAGTTATACGGATTCGCGATTATCCGGACTACCAACCGCGACTGAGTTATATGCATGTACATACCTACAATTCGAATTTTTGCATGATTTATGCTGCAGTTTAGTATAATATATGTATGTAATATAATCTAGGAAAATATATATGTACATACATAAGGAAATGTAAATTTCTTATTAAACATTGACCTTCGTTGATATCTATGTATGTATCATATACAGTTTCGTTGATATCTACGTATGATTTCGTCGATATCTATGTATGTATTTGTTATTTTTGATAAATACACATCATTATTCTTCATACATTAGATTATCCGGATTTTTGATTATCCGGATGCCTATCGACAACAATTAGTCCGGTTAATCGAGGTTCTACTGTGTATATATATATATATATATATATATATATATATATATATATATATATATATATATACATATCGATGGTTTTCTGACGCAACCTCGTATCTCAGAAACTACTACTCTTCAGGAGAGACAAAAAACGTTTTATAACGAATTTTTAAACTGCTGTTAACAATTTTTTTTATAAATTTTAAAAATATTCAACCTTTTGACAATTATTTGAGACAAGTATGATATTACATCTAACTTGTCCACACTATGAATTTTTATCATTTTTTGTAAGATGTAAAAAGAAAAATGATAGTTTTATTTGAACAAAAATGTGAGTAAAATTAAGTAATTTTTGCCACGACTTGTGAAATGTGCAAGTTCCGAGGCTTTACTAGTAAAGATGTATAAATGTTGGTGCTAATTTCTAGTGTTGTGTACACATCTTTAGATGTAACCTACCAACGTTAATATCCACTGATGATGACATTAAATTGAATGTCGAAACGTTTGGAATTAAAGATTAATTTATAAATCTTTGCCTTTTATTTTTGATGTATCGCCCCACAAGAACTTACTCATATATCTCAACATCAAAATTAACAACTAAATTATATATATATATATATATATATAATATAATATATATATATATATATATATATATATATATATATATATATATATATATATATATATAATATATATTCTACAAAACTTCTTATCAATTCTGCTATGGGCAAAAATATCGTTTGAGTCAAATTATTTATTATTAAGTATTTATTAAACTTTATTACTAATTCTACACAATGGCAATATTAGCAATTCAGAATCTTTCTTAAAAATTAAACTTTTAATAAACATTATTGCTTTTCACCTATTTCTAACGCACAGGAATTAATTTAGATCTTTACGTTCCGTATTTTGCAAATATAACAATGAAGTTAATAGAATAAGATAAGCTATTATATTGCATGCGGGTCAATTGGGCAAAATACAAGCCTGTTCTTTGTACGTGCATCGAATACCGTTATTTAGCATGTTATGTAACTTCAGTATTAATTTTTCTTCAGTCGTGCAGACTCAACCCCAGTAGTACGCAATGAAATTTATATTTATAAACCACAAGATATATAAATTTATTAAAACTTAATAAAATGATAGAAGTATTTTATTATATGAGAGAATTGGCTTAAGTTTTCGGTTGATGCCATAATAAACAAAGTGAGTGTTGTCGAAAATTTTAATGGTAGATTATTTCAAGTGTTCCAAAAGTGCATAAAATATTGCATATGTTCGTGATGCGT